ACCCCATCAGAACTGCTGAGCAAGCCTTCTTTGGCTTTGTTTCCTGTCTCACCGTCATCCCAACCATTTGCCTCTTTTGTTTGTTTAGTTTTGAGACAGGGTTCTGCTATGTAGCCCAGGCTAGTCTTGACTCCACGCCATGCACTGGGAATACAGGCATGGACCCCACACTTAATTCCCAGGGCCTTTTATCTGGATGTATGTCTCAGTTGCCTGGACTCCTCGTCCTTCAGCTGCTATTCCTTTAGTCTCAGTACATGAAACTGTCTTCCAACATCTGTCCTCAGGTACACCCCTCTCCACATGAAAAAACATCAAGAACAGTTTCCCACGAGTGCCACGGACCGGCTCAGGGGAGCCACCCAGACCGTGGGAGAAGCAGGGTCCTGGTAACAGGAAGGCACAAGTTCGGCGAATGACAGACAGACACAACACACAAGAGAGTGGTTGGACAGAAACGAAGGGTCAGGAGACTGGGCACCCCCTCTTCATCGCCAAAGTTAGCCAACGGTTTTGATTTTATCTCTTTGAAACCCGAAAGAATTGGCCTGGAATCTGGGGACTCTATAAGTGGGAACATGCTCTCCTCAACTCACAGCCCCGGGGAACACTGGAAAGGGCATTTTTTGTGGGGTGAGGGCAATCTGGTTAGGCGAAATGCAAATGCCCCCTGCAGGCTAAGGCTGGGTATAAGGGCCGAGAGGCAGAGTTGGCTTTGCTGAGCATCTGACTGTCTGTTTGGAGCTTGGAAGGCTGTCTGAAAAACGTCCCAAAGTCAGCCAGGATCCTGGCCTCTCCAATGTAAGTCTCCTGGTGACGCTCAGCCTCCAGCCATACTGTACTTTTACCACTTAAACACTTCTTCAAAGTTTACTAAGCAGTAGTGTGGCCCCGAGTCTGCCAAAAGTCTAGCTGGAGGATTTAGAGACTAGCTGTTGCTGCTGTTTCCACTGAAGATCATCTGTGAGCAAATGGCAGTCATCAAACCTTCCAGCCAGGGCCATCCCGAGGACCAGAGTGTCACGGGATAAGTCCGATCTGGGAAAACTCCCTTCTTTCCCATATTACCTCCCTCTCCCAGCTCTCTACCTCAGGAACCTAAATCAAAGACCCTGTGGCATTTCAGGGGACAGCAATGAAAAGCTTTTGGTGGGATGACATGAAACATCAGCACTCCTGGCTTTTGAAATTAACTTTCGCCTTTCAAATATCTGCAGGAGCGTGGGTTCAGGGGACATGAAGGGAAGAGGGTGCCAATCAATAAAGGGAAAAGAAAATACGTAGCATACCACGACCAAGCCAAACCAAGCTTGACATGTCCAAATTATATTGGCAAGTGCATGCTTTCACAAAAAAAAAAAAAAAAGATAGTGGTTGGAATCTGCTGCGATTTTACTGAATTCATGTTTTCATTATATAGTATTCAAACAAAGAACAAATCAGAAGGTCATGTATCATTGGTTGGCACAGTATGAAAGCTTCTTTTAGTCACATCAGCGATATTTAAGAAAAGCATATTATCAGGGACAGGTGTTAAATATAAAGCATCCTTAGAAGAGGAAATCTTGTCCTTGAGAATGTAAACCTCAGACAAGAGGTTACATCTTATGAATAGAAAGTTTCTGTCTCATTATCGCTATCATGGCCCTTCCTCTTCCTAACCCTTTATTTCATCTAGTGACCAAATATGCCTAATCAGTTCTCTGCACCTGCTGAAATATACTTTTAGTACCTTCTTATGCAGCAGACATCATGGGGGTTGGGATCTAGCAAGCCTATCCATAAAGTTTATAGTATAATATAACAGTCTTTGTCCATTAATATTAACCCATTTATTCCCTTGCTTATCATACACCCTGTGTATGACAAAGGTTCTGCTGTAGTCTTATACATTCCCATACTGTGCTTCCTCCCTATCCCAGAGCTGTTTCTAAAGAGAATGATCCTTGTCTTGTATATATACAGACTATCATTATTATGAGATTGTGCAAAGCCCATATCCCACATAGCCAGCTAATCAAGAAACCCATCTATGCCTCAGCGGTGGCTAATACCGGGCCATCTGCCATTGACCTCCAGGAAGCCTAGTCCCATAGGACACGTAGCTCCCGTCCAGCATAATGACATATGTCATGTCACACAGACGACACTGGAGTTGGTGTGGCACACAAGACAGTGAGGGAAGCCTTTCCAATCTGTGGCATCCACACACAGACACTGTTCATGAATGAGATTGCCCTTTTCAGGCTCTCCCCGCAACACAGGACTTTTCGGTTCCTACGGGCAATCTTCTTGTGGTCAAGAGGCAGCATGCAAGCCCAGATTAGCTCTAGTCTGCGCTTCCTATAGATAAGAAGCCCTGTACGAGCTGAATGTGTGTCCTCCATCTAAGAATGTCTTTACATGTCCTTTTCAAGCTACCTGTTGATAATCCAGTATAGCCATGGCGACGTGAACCTCACTAGCTGCTCTTCCAGAGGACCAGGGTTTGATTCCCAGCACCCACATGACACACAACCATAACTAAACATACGTAAATCCAGTCCCAGGGGATCCAGTACCCTCTTCTGGTCTCCTCAGGTGACAGACGCACAAATGGGGCTCAGATACGCATGCGGAAAAATTCTAATACACACAAAATAAATAAGAAACAAACAACAACAAAGAAAAAGATAACCAATATTGCCTATCAATACAAGATACTTATATATAATCAAAGAAGAAAGAAAACATGCAGATGGCCACAAAGATAAATATAATTTAAAAAGAAAATATATATGCCACCACCAGAGCCAGCTAACAGCTCTAAGGTTCCTCCCTTGGAGTCCAGCGCGCCCTTAATCACTTCATGTGCCAGGCAGCCTGATGCCGCAGCAAATGTTATCAAGGACTTCCTAATTTTACTTCGTGCACATTCGTCATCGCTGGTCTGAACGTTTGGAAAAACCAACCCCAGCTTCCCACAGCTGGCAGATGAGTTTGAGATGGGTCAGAGAACACTTGCTAATTTATTCAACTAACTGGAGAGTTTCAGAACAGCTGAGGACATTTGAATAGTTTTCTTTCCGACTCAGAATTCAAGCATCTGACTCACAACGCAAGCAGCATGGGTGGTGGTGGGGGGGATGTGTGTGTGGCTACTGTCCTCTGAGGCAGTGGTGTGTATGTGTGTGCGGTGCGTGTGTGTGGCTACTGTCCTCTGAGGCAGTGGTGTGTATGTGTGTGAGGTGCGTGTGTGTGGCTACTGTCCTCTATGACAGTGGGGGGGATGTGTGTGTGTGTGTGTGTGTGTGTGTGTGGCTACTGTCCTCTGTGGCAGTGGTGTGTGTGTGTGTGTGGCTACTGTCCTCTGTGGCAGTGGTGGGTGTGGGTGTGTGTGTGTGTGTGGCTACCGTCCTCCCTTGTTGTTGTCCCAAGTCTACCTGCTGTGCAGAACATTTTGAAAACGTGAACTAACTTCCCTCTTTGCCCAAAGTTTGATTTTAAGAGGTTTTGAGAAAGACCTTCACATGAGGAAATGGCCGTAAGTGAAACCCCCGCAGCTGCACATCTCCGGAGAGGAGAAGTACAAATACCTGTGGGTTTAACGAATCCTGGTCGCTTAAGCACAGGTCAGGGGAGGAAGGAAGTGTCCCCATGTCATCCAGGCATGGGAAGAAGTGCACTCAAACCAGGGGCACAGCTCAAATGATATCCGGACCAACGGTCCCTGCAGGCTGGGCTAAAGGATGGTTACCAGTGGGGAGCCCACCATGGCCACTTTGGGGTGAGTTATAGCAGCCGACTCTCCTGAACAGACACTACAAGGAAGCCATTGCAGGAGGGGGCTCATAAAGCTGGGGGTTGTCATATCGATTTCATCAAGACAGAAGTGTCCAGTGGGCTAGTGCTCTGAGCATGGGGTCCAAGAGAGACATGACTTACACCAAACTGGGCTGAGCTGCCTTTTCACACCTCCACACAGCAGCCCTGACCACAAGAAGACTTTCTTCAAAGTCCCCAGCAATTACAGCTTTAGCCTTCATGACTTCAAATACGGTTTTTAGCGCTTTTGGAAACACTGAAACCCAGTGAGTTCAGAAAGCAAAAGACAGCAACAATAAGATACCACCACAACATCGCTATTCTAAAACGAGGCAATTCCTCCAACTCCTCAGCCACTGCCTCAGACCAATGGGGGAAAGGCACAGGAATCCACAACAATCCCAGACAGAGCACTTCTACACTAGGGTCGGCCTCTTCCTCTACAAGGACGCTCTATAAAAGGAAGATCCGTAGTGCTAGAATAAAGTTTGCGAACAAAAGCAGCTATCTGTGAGGGGGGAGATAAAGAAGCGTCCATTTTCCGTTCCACATGTCTAGAATAAAGCAGGTTTACACACAGCCTGACATTTGTAATTTGACAATTGTCTTCTTACATGACTTTTAGTAAATTATCATATGCCCTTGGCTGACACCCAAGCATTCTAAATACCCGAGTATCAAAAAGTAAAGTGGATCTGGGCACGGTGGAGCATGGCCGTTAACCCCAGTACTCTGGGGCCAGAGGCTGATGGATCTCTGTGAGTTCGAAACCAGCCAGGCCTACAAAGAGTTTTAGATAAGTCAGGGCTGCGTGGTGAGACCCTGTCTCAGAAACAAAACAAAACCAAGACTAAAGTGTGCATATAGTTCCACATATATACACATATATGTTTAAAGGCAATTTTCATGTATTTAATATTAATTCACGCTCTTGCACACAAGGCCAATGTGCGGCCACTGGGCTAAACCCCGCTTTGTTTCATTTTAAAAGGAAATACAACCATAGATGCAGTCAGCAAAGCCAAGGGAGACTAACATTGCCATCATGTTCCTAGCAGGAGGCAGAGATCTATGAGATCCCTTTGCGCGGTTTCCTAAACTGTTCACTGGGTAACCCAGCAGCTGGGTTCCAGGAAAATGGCAGAGGTCCTGCCCCGGCCTGGGCGACAGGAACTGGCGGGGAACGTGCTACTTACATGGCAGGTCCCGGTCTTCTGCTCTTGAGTGTGGCGCTGGGTGCTTTCAGTTCGCAGGTTCCGCAGAACTCCCCTAGTTTATGCCACAGGAACTCGGCTCTTCCACAGGCCGCAGCCTGGTCCTCCACCTGCTCGGGGCAGTCTGGGTTTGGGCAGCGAGGAGGGCACCGGGCACTTGCGCTCAGGCACAGGAAGCTAACTGGAAATGTGCTTTTCTTCTCAGGGAAGTGATAAGCCTGGGCTCCACTTCTGCAATTCTGTTTGCATGGGCACAGCCCGCCCAGCTCCTTCCACCCCAGAGAGTCCTGAGAAGCAAGTTATGGCTCTCTGTACTCCCCTCTTTCGCTGGGCTGTCTGACACCGCCTTCTTTATACCCCACACTTCCTCCACTCACGGCTTGCAGCCAGCCTCCTGGGACAACTGAACAGTTCCTTTTTTTTTTTTTTTTTTAACTTCACAGTTTCCCCAGAGTTTAATGTTGCCAAGATCTCCACACCCCTGACTCTGTGTCCCCCACCCCCAGCCCTGAGCTGTCTTGGTGGAGCCTCCTCTTGGTGCTCAGCATCTTGCAGCAGCTTAACCTCTAGTTGCTTCTGGCTGAAGTCAAGTCTTTAAAAAGTAAAGGAGAGAGAAAGAGACAGAGACACCCAAGACCCGAACCATAACTTTCAGTGGCTTTTCGATCAAGCGTGTGGCTTTGAGAAAGTGTGGTGAGCTCAAACTTCGTTAGAGATCACAGGGAACAGCGAAAGCAGAGGAAAACACAGGCGTTTAAATAGAGTAACCCCGGGCCTCACTCGGGCTGTCTCAGATAAACACGTGGATTCCTATTTGACTCGGGCCTGACCAGCTTCCCACGCGCTCAGCCGGTAACACCTGCAGCTCACTTGGAGGCTGTTCTGCTTTGAGAGCTGGGTGACGTGTGCAGAGAGAGAGGGCGTGGAGGTAGAGTGTTTGTTTCAAGACCCTAATCATTCTCCTTTGGACTGTCAATCATAGGAAGCACGGGTAGCATCAGTACAGGAAGTCCCGCCCCCAACCCAGCTGGAAACTCACCGGCTATTCCCACGGCGAATGCTTTGAAGTCAGGCTTCCTCCCTGTGCCCTTGGCACTCCTCGCTCTGTGCCACCTTGCACTCGGCACCCATTCTCCCCTAGCCAGCGAGACTGCTGTGTGGTACACTGACGATTCGGTGGGTACCAGAGACAGCTTGGCTCGAGTACAAACATTAACCTGCCAGGATGGTCTGTGTGGGGAAGAGATCAAAGCAGGAAGAAGCCAGCATCAGTCCCCGGCCCCTTGCTGGCATCTCCAAGGTTGGTGTGCAGTTAGAACCCACGTGTGCCTGCATTTTGAGCACCTCATTCTTTGGTCGAAGGGGCATTTAGGTTGTTTCCAGGTTCTGGCTATGACAAACAAAGCTGCTATGAACATAGTGGAGCACATGTCCTTGTGGCATGATTGAGCATCCTTTGGGTATATACTTAAAAGTGGTATTGCTGGGTCCTGAGGTAGGTTGTGTTCTAATTTTCTGAGAAATCGCCACACTGACATCCATAGGGGCTGTGCCAGCTTGCATTCCCACCAGCAATGCAGAAGTGTTCCCTTTTCCCCACAATCTCTCCAGCATAAGCTGTCATCAGTGTTTTTGATCTTGACCATTCTTACAGGTGTAAGATGGAATCTCAGAGTTGTTTAATTCTCTGATGGCTAAGGATGGTGAGCATTTCCTTAAGTGTCTTTCAGCCATTTTAGAATGGACAAAGAAGATGTGGTACATTTAACAATGGAGCATGACACAGCGGGAAAAAAATGACATCTTGAAATTTGCAGGAAAATAGATGGACCTAGAAAACATCATATTGAGTGAGGTAACCCAGATCCAGAAAGACAAATATCATATGTATTCATTCATAAGTGGCTTTTAGGCATAAAACAAACAAAAACCAGCCTACAATTCACAATCCCAGAGAACCTAGACAACAATGAGGACCCCAAGAGAGACATACATGGATATAATCTACATAGGAAGTAGAAAAAGACAAGATCTCCTGAGAAAATCGAGAGCAGGAGAAACATGGGAGCGGGCAGAAGGGGAAGGGAGAGGAATGGAGGGGAGTGGAGAAAAACATATAGCCCAATAAATTTTTTTTAAAAAAGAGCACCTCATCACATCAGAAGCAGGAAGGGCCACACGAGCTTTCGGCATCACACTCTAAACAGACGCACTCCTCAGAGTTGCAGACATGGGCACCCACAGTCACTTATGGCCAGGAGCCACGGCGCTGAAGCAAGAACAGTGAGTGGGTCATGTTGACATCTGCGCCCCTAAATATTGATCGTCGGTGCTTATTAAAACAGCTAACGTTCTTGTCAGACAGGATCTCCTCTTAGCCCGGTCTCCAATTCCCTATGTAGCTGGGAACTTCTGATCCTCCTGTGTCTCCCTCCCTAGAGCTGGGATTACATGTCCGCAGCACACACCTGATTTATTCAGGACTGGGAAGTAAACTTGAAACCAGGGCCTTGTGCATGCAAGCTAAGCTGGCATGCTGCCAGCGAGCTGTGTCTCCAGCCCGAGATCTACATTCTCTGCATTTATGTGGATGGTATAGTTAGTGTGTACAGTACTGTAAGGCACAGCGTGGAGAGCATGGTTAAATACAGTGTGCGTATTGTTGGCCGCGGGTACGATGCCATGCAGCAGTGACAGGAAGGAAGCTCCTTGTCACGTATGAGAGACACTTCACACCTGCTGAGAACCCTTCACTTCCTCTTCCCCTCAGCCCTCAGCCACTGCTTTTCTGCTCTCTGCTTCTGTAGGCTTTAACTATTTCAGATACTTCATGTAAGGAGGGTCTGGAAGTCACAGTCCTCCATGACCAACGCCTTACTTAGTCTAATGTCCTCTGGGACCATCTACACTGTCATACATGGTGGAGCTCCCTTAAGGTTGAGCAATATTGTCCTATGATACATTTTATCAGTTCATCTATTGATGTGGGAGTGTCATATATCAATCTGTTGATTTCATTGGTTAAGTTATAATAAACCAGCTGCTTGGCCTCATGGCTTGGAACATAGATGGGAGGAGTAAACAGAATAGAATTCTGGGCGGAAGAGGAAGTGAGGTCAGACTCTGCTCTGCTCCCGGAGAGTCTCTGCTCTCCGGATCACAGACGCCATGCTCAGCTCTCCCGGGTAGACGCGATAGCTCTGCTCTCTGAGGCACACGCGATGAAGATGGATGTAGGCTAGAATCTTCCCGGTAAGCGCACCTTGGGGTGCTTACACACATTATTAGAAATGGGCTAGTCCAGGTGCGAGAATTAGCCTGTAAGGGCTAGAGTTCATGGGCCCAGCAGTTCTTTGAATGAATACAGTTTGTGTGTTGTTATTTCGGGCGTGAGCTAGCCAAGCTGGGGTGTTGGGGACGCAGCCCCGCCGCTCTTATTTCAACAATCTATGAATGGACCACTAGGCTCGTTCCATTTCTTAGCCACTGTCTTCACCCGCTTGCACCGTGGCAGCCATCTGGGTCATTTCTGCATCTTGCTTGCTATGAGGCCCTAAACTGCTGTCGCTGTTCTTGTGGCTGTGGCAAAACTCCTGTGAAAACTCAGCCTGAGGGGGGAGGGCTGGTTGGCGCTCACACCTGAGAACAGTCCTTGCCCACAGTAAGCCGTGGTAGGAGGCGGAGGTGGCCACCACTCCTACCACCTCCACCGCAAGAGCAGAGAGATGGCTGGGCTCAGCTCACTTTCTCCTCTCATTGGTCTAGGACGCCAGCCTGGGATAAGGGACCATTCGCATTTAGGATGTGTTTTTCCGTCTCATTGCAGTCACACCTCACAGTCACAACTAGAGGCTCCTACTGAGTCTAATTCTGTCACGTCGACAGTTAGCCATCAGAACAAGGGAGGGTGCAGATCTGGAATCTCTCAGTTCCAGACTCTGGGGCCAATAGCATACACTCAACCTCAGGGTCACAAGGTAGTTCTACTTTGTACATCTTATGATGCCTACTGATTACTTTTGAGGATGGTGGCCCCATTTCACACCCCCTCCAATAACAGTTGATAATTCTGATTTCTCTACCTTAACCTTTGTACGTTTTTTTTTTTTTTCAGGATAGATATTCCAAATCCATAAGACAAAACAATCTCCTAGATGATTGGTCATGTGGCCCCTTCACACAGCTGTGGACCATCTGTATGTCTTCCCTGGAGAAAAGTCTTCTCATTCTTTCCCATTTTAGGAAAGGTTATCTTTTAATTATGTTTCTGGGGGCGGGGGTTGTGCACCTGGCTGTGCAGCCCAAGTCAGAAGGGCACCAGATTGCCTGGACCTGGAGCTACCGGTGGTTGTGAGCAGGGTGCTCGGAATGGAACTCAGGTTCTCACGGCTTACCTTCACTTTATTTCCTTTATTGCAGAAGATTCTGGGTGTGAGGTTCTCTCACTTATCTCCATTGCCTGGACTTTTGGGGTCTTACCCAAGAAATCTTGCCACAACAGCCCTACCTTCTTCTGGGTCTTATATGTAAGTCTTTACTTGGTCCTTTGGGTCAGCTGCTGGGCAGAGTGAGGCACACAACCATTATGACCCGCCCTTCCTGTGGATGCCCGGGTTCTCCAGCAGCAGCTGCCAACATGGAAGCCCTTCCCCTGCTGGGAATTCTCCACACCTGTGTCAGAGATGAGCTGCTCATGTATTCGTGGACGTGTTTCTAGGCTCTGTGCTCTGCTCAGCTCTGTGTGTGTGTGTGTGCGTGTGTGCGCGTGTGTGTGTGACAGTCTGTGTGTGATTTCTGCAGCTTTGTAACAGGTTTTGAAATCAGGAAGAGTAATTCCTCCATCTTTCTTTCTCAAGATTTCTTTCAGCTAGTCAGGGTTCTTCGTGGTTCCACAGGAATTTAGATGCAGAAGCAACTCAGCTGGCTGCCATGGAATAAATTTAAAATTTTAGAATTTTAGAAAATGCTTTACTACTATAAAAACTCCATTGAAATATTTGACAGGCATTGTAATGAATCCACAAATTACCTTCATGAGTATGGACATTTTAAGAGCATCACATTTTCTAATTCGTGAACATAACAGTACAACCATTTATCCATGCCTTCTTTGTCATCTTTAAGAGTTTTCAAGAATATGTCTTTCACTTCCTTGTTCAACCTTATTCTCATTTATTCTTCCTAATAATTTCCAGACAGGGCCTCTCTATGTAGCCCTGGCTAGCTTGCAACTCTCTATGTAGGCGAGGCTGGCCCTCAAAGGCACAAGAGATCCAACCACCTAGCTCTGCTTCCCAAGTGCTGAGATGAAAGATGTGCATCCCCACACTAGGCTCCTGGCATGGCCACGCCAGACTCCCTGCACCGCCACGCAAGACTCCCTGCATCACTATGCCAGGCTCCCTGAATCGCCACGCCAGGGTCCCTGCATCACCACGCC